GAATGTTAGGAATTGACCATGCAAGCGATGTAATGGTTTTTTGTCTTTTTTTATTTCGTGTTAGCGTGGATATTTCGACTATACCAGTAAGATTGTAGAACGACGCACATTGTAGAACATTGTAGAACAACGCACACACTTGCCTCGAATGCCTCTATTACAATGAATGTTAGTTCCGTAATGGTTTTTTGTCTTTTTGTAAGCTTGTAGAAAGACGGACATTGTAGAACATTGTAGAACGACGCACACACTTGTCTCGAATCTCTCCTGCAGAAAAAGCATACGAAGTCGAGCATTTTTATTTCGTGTTGCATCTACGCTTTCGACTATATCAGTAAGCTTGTAGAACGACGCACATTGTAGAACATTGTAGAACGACGCACACACTTATCTCGAATCTCTCCAGCAGAAAAAGCATACGAAGTCGAGCATGCGAGAAAATGAGCGCTTCATGTTTGCTTTTAGGCTATCCATATTCAGTAGCATAGACAGAGCAGTGGAGAAATCTCAGGTCTGAAAATCGCAACGTCCGAGGTTCGAGTCCAGTCGGCAACCTTTTTTTTTTTTATTTTTTCCAACATAATTAATTTCACACACTAATACACTCCACATTTTTTGGTCTCCAATTTTCTTACATCGGACCGCAGCTAGGTATATCGCATCCTCGGTTCATGCGGTCTCCACTTACATCCTCTGATGATGAATCCCACATAATTGTAAGCGAATCTTACATCCACCGGTTGGGTGTACGGGAAAATTTGCTGGCTTATTACGAATCACAAACCCTTGGTAACCATATTCGGAGATAGGGCCAAACCGAGTGCGCGCATAGAAAGATGGAAGCTTTGTCTTATGTCGTATAACTACAAAGTGATATATCAGCCAGGGAAAACAAACATTGCCGATCGATTTTCCCGGTTGTGCCAAAAAATGAACATTTGTAATCAAAGCTACGACGCAGAGAGCGAGATAATCATACGTCTGGTATCTTACGATGCTTGTCCTATGCCTTTATAAGACCTTTTTGATGCTATAAATCAAGATATTGAACTGGCAGGCCTCATGCAATGGATGTCTTACCTTCTTAAAAGGTGACCTAAAACTTTAACAAATTATAAAAAAGTTGGCGATCATTCGAATGTATAACAATGCGAGAAATTAGCGGCGCCGGTGGTGTAGTGGTAAGCGTGATTACCTCTCACCCCAGCAGGCCCGGGTTCAATCTCAGTCGGCGCCGCCGGGATGTTCTGAGGCATAACATCTCTGATCACGCCTTCCTTCGGAAGGGAAGTAAAGCCGTTGGTCCCCGGTTCATGAGTTGATGGGTTGATATGTAGGATCCAGGTGTGCGAGCTGCCTCCCTGGCGTCGGTAGCAATGGTGCTCAGCACGGAAAACAAGATTGACGGAAAACAAATCAAGGGAAAAAAATGCGAGAAATTACGATGAAGCGAAGAAATATAAGGGAAAAGAGTATGGAGACACAAAAAGGCGGACGAAAGAATCAAGAATTGACGTTGGAGAGCATGTGGTAGTGAAAAATCTGGTAAAACGCTGCAAATTGGATACCAATTTCAATCCACAGCTTCATGGGGTTGTGAAGAAAAATTGAACAAGGCTTACTCTCAAGAATTTTTCCACGGGAATCGAACTTGATTGTCATGTTAATCATGCTAAACTTTTGATTTCCAGTAATCCATTCAACACTGAAAGTATAATTTTAGATGAAGTTCTCGCCAACTCTGAACATGTTCAGACTAATGAAATAGAGGAAAATCGCTAGGTTCTGTAGGAAATCAAAGCAAAAAAGGCAGTCCGCATAGTGCTCTCTTACCATGCGGATCTATTTGCATTTTGCTGAAGGAAGTGTTACTACTACCAAAAGCTACAAAAAATTTAAACAGCTCTTTTCAGTGCTCAATATACCTGTAAATTATCTACCTTGTTTGACTCTTACTCCTCTTCGATCCTTGTTTGGACCCTACCCGAGGTAATCCTTCTTGGATATCGATTTGGAAAATTCCTCTCCGATCCTTCAGATTCTTATAGTAATCTGCTTGGAAGTCGATTTGGATAAAAAAAATTACTGCCGCCATGGCGCCTAAGCACAAAAGAAAGAAGCAATCTCTTGATCCCCCTTCTGATGAAATTAATTTAAGCAATCAATTTGATTTTTTCACGGATGATGTGAATGATCCATCATCCAGGAAAAATACTAATAAACTTTCCCGGCTTAATGTCAAAAAGGAAAATATTCCCCCTATTGTGATAACCCCTTCCGATTTCCATGCTCTTCACCCGGAACTTTTGAACTTCGTGAAATTTAAGTTTTCACTGCGCCGTCGGGGTGAATGCCGTGTATTGGCTGAAACCTTGGAAGGATTCAAATGTCTTCTCAAGTATCTTACTGAGAAGCAGCATAATTTTTTTTTACTTACGACACCAAAACTGAACGTGTGTTCAAGGTTGTCATGAAAGGACTGTCCAGTGGTGAATTCTTGGATCAGATCAAAGATGAACTGGCAAAATTACTTGGAGTTGTGCCAGTGCAAGTAATCAAAATGAAAATGAAATCCCGTCCTGACGATTCGCGCAACGGGATTTCTAATGATTTTTATTTAATTCATTTCAAAGTGGGAGCACTTCAGAAAGACTGGAAGAAATTTCCAAAACCTTACCCAGTGCCGTAAGTGCCAAGGATGGGGTCACGGATCCAAAAATTGTACGTTAATCATGCTAAACTTTTGATTTCCAGTAATCCATTCAACACTGGAAGTATAGTTTTAGATGAAGTTCTGCCAACTCTGAAGATGTTCAGACTAATGAAATAGAGAATAAACGCTAGGTTCTGTAGGAAATCAAACGCAACGCAAACCGGAATATGAAATTTATAAAAAAATTAAACAACAATGAAAAACTAAATTATGATTTAAATAAATATAAAAATAAAAGGAAGGAGAGATGTGGCAGGCATCGATTGATGCAAATTATAATAGTAAGCCGAGCTAGGATACTGCAAATTTATTGACATTGATATTCAACTACTCAACTAAACAAGTTGTATTATTTGAAGCTGCTACAAGTAGCACGAAAAAACGTCATTACTTTTCATCTGCGTAGCAGGCTTAAGCTACGAAGAACAAACTAAATGATTTGGTCTGAGACTCAGACTCTGAGTCACCAATCATGGGGAAATTGGGACAAACGGACATTTTTCGTGCTGTGCCGTCTGCTATGCCTACTGTAATCGATTCATTGGACATTTTTTCGTACTAAAAGTGCAATTTTATCGTTTTCAATCATTTGCGTTTTGAGAAAATGCTAAATTTTTTAGTAAATCTTATATTTTATAGGAAATCGGCTGTGATTAATACCTAATGCAATTGAATCCTTGAGCATTTTATGGTATATTGAGCTGAAGTTCATCAATCATATCCATTTAAAAGTTATGAAATAGATCAAATTAACAGTGTGCAGTGCTAAATATACGGAAATTGTGGCAAAGCGGGATTTAACAGTGCCATATGGATCATTTCCGCTCAAGTGGGTACAGAATTTTAAAAAGGTGTGATCGATGTCACCAAACTTGGGCAAAACACTTATTTTTGCATTCTGATCAAACGCCTTTTTTGATTTTACTTTAAAGTGCCTTCTGGGCTACAAGCCTGGATTTTCGAGATTTAAAAAAAATCATCTTTCAAAAGCGATTACTCCACAACCAAATAAGCTTCTCGAGATCTTAGAACGTCAATTTGAAGGTTTTTTTTTCAATGTAGATTCTTATAGGTGTACTCACATTTTGTTTTTGTTATAGTAACTACAGTAAACAGACTGATTACCGGCAGGTATCAAAATTGTCATAAAATTGCCTATTTTTACCATATGCGGGATTTTTTATTTTTTAATGTTTTGGGCTCAAATTTTCCTGCCAATTGGATCCTGCCAATAATACCTGCCAGTTTTGCTACATGAGATTCACAATAAACGATTTTGTCATTTATCTCACAAACTTCGCGAAGAGGCGATCAGAAAATCGCTCATTGTGACTCTGTCAAAGCTAAATTTGAGGGTTTTATGTGCCAAATACAAACTTTACAATCTTTTCTTGTTACTTACACATACAAAATATCATCATAATATCATAATATTCCATAATTTCACAAAACTTTTTTATTTAGCCCAAATGAAAGGAACCCTGCTTTCAATTATCTCATACCACGTGCAAAGAACTCTCGTGTAGTCATCCAATAAATCAATTTGCTTCATATATGCTTTTCGTAAATTAAACAACCATTAGCTGATTCCATTTCAAACTATAATCATTTGATCGCGTTCGATTCTTTCATTAACGCACTTTTTCGCACTCCTCCTGTACAAACAACGAATCGACAAATATTCAATGAAATGCACCCCTTGCAAACCATCAGCTGATGAATTTCGCATGCTGTCATGCTATCGCCTTGCCACTATTGCGATTCACTTCTGACTTACAAAAACAACAACAACAACAACCAGCATGTTCGACGATCCTCGTCGTCCTGTAACCTGCAAGCAACCGCGCAACCATCTGAGAGTGGCACGCGCAAAATAATGTTAGTAGCCCATTCCATTCTCGTGCACCTCGACTTAAGTCTCTGCGTGTTTTCGTCAGACGCCTTAAGATTTCCAGCCATAACATTTCCATGCGATTATGTTAGTGTGCGGGTTGCACGTGCTGTGCAGCGCTGCTACCGACACGAGGAGAAAATCAAGCCTTGCCACTGCGGCGGAAAAACTGCGTGGAGTTTTCGGGGCCACGAAACCCAACGGCGCTGGTGCTGGTGCTGGTGCGGCTATGTATCGTAACTCTCCGCGAGGTAGCTCTCGTGTAAGGAGATGCCTTTGTTTTCGTCGTAGTTTTCTTCACCTGAGCGGTAAGTTTCACTCTCTCTCCGGCTCTCGCCTGATCGCGGCCAGGGTACGATCGCGTATATAGTGGTGTGTTCTTTAAATATTACCACCAGTTCCATCATCGGCATCGTTCAGTTCAGTTTAAGTGGTCTACCAGTGCGTTCCCGTCTTCAACGATCAAATTCAGCAACTTTTTTTTATATCTACTAACCACCCAACCTACCACAATCCACTCGACGAGTGCGAACCAGTTTGGATCTGCTCCAGAACTTGGAAAAAACTTCAACTGTGATACCCAGCAAGGAGTAGTTCCAAAGGGACCCCATCCCGGAGAAGAAAAGCCAAAAAATCCTAGTGATATTTTCCGTTCCAGTTTCCTAAGCTACTAAACCAAATCAAGGTATGCAGTTTTGCAGTGTTGTTTTGTGGTGTTAAGGAAAAATCGAACGTTCTGAAAGGGAAGACAATTCTCAAAACAAACAAACAAAAAAAAAACAGTTGTGAAACTCGAAGAACTGGTTTTTCCAAGTGTTACCCCATTTTCGAACGGCAGCACTCAGTGAAACATGGTGCCAGGAAAAAGATTTTTCCCTTGTTGTGCTTAGAGCGCACTGCGAGTGAGCAGCAGCAACAGTAACAGCGAAGAAAACCGGTTGTGCATTGGGTTGCATTGGTTGAGATTGCAAAACTCACGATTTCTTGATCATCATTGTCGTTGGTAGCTTATTTTTTGTCGTTTTTGGTTTTGATCTGGAACACACATACACACACACTCACGTGTGGGACGACACGGACTTTGTTTATTGTCAACCAACCTGCAGCTGGCCGTTTGCGTCGTTGTCGTTCAAGAAACGACAGCCAAGGGTGTGATACAAATAAATCCTCCTGGAAGGTGCGAAATGGATTGCATCACAGCGCGACTGCCACAGACTGTGGTCTGTGGTTGGAGGGTTGGAGGATGGTGTGAGATTCGTTCAGTGTGGTTGCCAAGTTTGAAAGAGTAATGTTGGCGAGATTGTGGAACGTGAGGCTGAGCTAGCGCTTTTGGGGATAAGGTGGGGGTTTGTGGGTCTTGAGCACGGTGGATGTTGACTGCTGGATATTTGAAAGTTGGATGATTGATGTAGAAATTTGGATAGCAAAGAACTTTGTTCTGCAACAGCAATCCGATGGTTGTTTCTGTGATTTTCCGAGGATTTATCAGTATGAGAAACAGTTAAACTTTGAATTGGATCATATTTGCGCAGGGCAAGGAAATCTTTTCGGAACGATTTTACAGCCTTGATTTCTAAATCAAGTGAAGTTTTGATTCAACAACTATAGACCAGTGATAATTGGAAAACATTTTATTGATGCTAATTAAATTGCTGATCTATTTGTTATTCTCTATATTGCTATATATATCAACAAGCAATACAATTGTAAAATTGCCGCTTTAAGGTGAAAAAGTGATGACAAAAAGGTCCATCACTTCAACAGAACACCTACATTAAAAATAAGTATTTTGAATATGATTAAAATAAGTCATAAGCAAGTTTCTACAACCGTTTTGCGTTAAAGGTATTTATATCCGGATACATCAAATATTTCGCATCTTAATTCAACTGAGCTCATTTTTATAAGGCCATTGAAATTAAACTCTAAAATGTATCAGTGTTATGCATCAAAAATTAGTATTTTCTCCTTCAGCATCGAATAATTCAACTCAATTAACATGCATGTGAGTTGATTCACACATATGTGGGATATTCCACCCACTAGTCAGAAATATGAACAAATTATGCACTGCCCTGTATCACGAGTTTGGTCAAGACGTCTCCTAAAATCGTACAATGCAAAGTGATTCTTCTTGTCAAGGTTTGACAATATCTAAAGAAAGTTTCATATTTAGATTGAACTTACCGCTCGAACCGTGAGTAACATTTTCTACTTCCTAGTGAATATCATGATTACAGAAATCGTTCACCTAGATCCCAGGTTGAATAAAAAACATGAATAGCTAAGGCTCATGTTTCCTGTGAGCATTTTTCATCCGTCAATTGCTTTCCAAGAGCTTTGCAAATGTTTACCCCACTTCGTCTCAAAAAGCTACGCTCATGCTCAATATTTCCATCACAGTGATTCATCACCTATAAAAAGTATGCTCGGCTTATAAATGAACATAGGCAATGCTTGCTCACGACTGAATATTCACTAAGTGAGTTAGTTCGTCTGCGTTTCATCCTTTGAAATGACAACAACAAATCACTACCTACTCATATAACGAGTTCGGTTTAACGATAGTTTTATGGGGATTTACAAAAACTTTAAAGTATCTTGTAGTCTTTAATAAAACCTGAAATTAAACTAAGATAGTTCACATGATCAGCCACGGATAACCGCTTATCAATTTTAGACCATGATGGAAAGGAAGCCTTGTGAGATTTGAGATAAAAATCACATTCCAACGACATCGGTGCGATGATTGAATGACAAGCGTGTCTGCTGGTCCTCCAAGTGTGTCGGGTTCAATCCCAGACAAGGTCGTTAGGATTTTTTGAGCGAGAAAGAGAAATAAAGCCCAGCTGCTCATATACTGCACACAATTGGATATTTGAAGCCCCTTCTTTCCATGATTTCCTAATCATATGGGGCAGTTATGCGACTATGGGTAGCATATCGAAGGGGCGACCAGGTGCATGAGTCTGAACAATGGGAAATAATCTAGATCGTTGTGGCTGGGAGCTTGCCTACTGCGTATGACGAATCAGTTTTAAACGCGGGAGAGAAATTCGATTTCTCATTTCTTGAGAGACTATTTCTCATCGTAATGTAAACTGTTCAAGGCTCCTCTTCATTCGAGTGAACAGTTTCTTGAACACGTGGGTACGAATGTGATATCTTATTCAAAGCTCAAACCATTATCTACAGAGTGTAAAATTATTGACTACTTGGGCTTAGTGTGAAAGCACTGCCCAAGCAACATTTCAAATTTCATCAACGTTTAAAAGCATTCTTCAAGTGTACAGCATGGTTTACAGAACCCATGAGATTTTATGAAAAACCAAAATTGTGACTTGAATGCAATAGTCATTGCATTGCATGCTTTATCCAGACCAGTGTCTGTTTTTCTCATTTACCCTCACACGCACTGACTATCGCTTCTACCCAGTGTAAATAAATTGCGTTTGTTTTGAAACTTTTCACTGTCAACGTACGAGTGATATGAACAAATGAGTTCATTATCCATCGACGAATACGTGTTTGTTTATATTCATCAACGCTTGAGTTTCAACTCCAAAGTTGTTAAAATCGGAAACGATCCTAAAATGCGAAAAACAAAAACAAATTCATTTTGGCAGAGCCTAAAACCTTGAAAATATCAATTCTGCAAAAAGCAATAATCTTCCATCAAAATCATCCCCACCAAGATGATTATGAATATTGATATGACAGCAGCACAGGCGATAATGAATGCGCATCTTTGAATGAACAAAACAGAAGTTGACTTCGAATCTCAGCGATTGCCTTGAACAAGGGAATGTTATCATGTCAACATTCAAATTCTACCTGCATGTTGGTTTGTTGGTTTATCTTTCAAGGTTGCCTTCATTTTCAGCTTACTTGAGTGTAGAAGAAATGATTTTTATCAGCACTCATCAAGACCGTTTGTACCCAACGGTAAAGAATGAGGCAATGAAAGAACCAATAAACCATTTTGTTACTCACGAACAGGCATTCTTCCATAGAGAATGTATGGTCAGTCATTCAAAACAAGAATGGTTAGCAACACGGAATATTAAACATGCTGACTGCGCAACCGAATGAGTGCTCTGCTGTCAGTGACTTATTAACTTCCCAATCATTCAGAGTCTCACGACGTAGTGAAGGCAGATTTCTGTTAAAATCATACGAAAATACCTCATTGAACCTCCATCACTGCTCGTCGATGTGAACAGTACTGCTTTATTCATTACCAGATCTCATTCAGTGAGCGTTCCTGAGAGAAAGAGCTCACGTAAGAAATTAAAAACAAATCTCATGCTTGAGATTCTCATGCATTTTGACAACCCCTTGAGCTCAATTCATAGTAGGCTCATGAGGAGAATAATGCAAACATCAGCACTGTGGGAACCTTAAATGGTCTTGGATCATACTAAATAGTGTTTCCGACCCGGAACATCCCGGGAAATTTAGCAAAAAACATATTTCTCGATTCCCGGGAAACTGGTTCGACATCCCGGCTTGCTTTTTGTATAGCAGAACACTTCCAGAGGCAGAAGCTAGACGTAACTACCGGAGAACATTTGATGCATTGTCTGTAGAAAGTTAGAAGAGACTTTCGTGCGAAGTGAAAAATGGTTCTGGATTTAAGTTAGAAGATACTTGCGGGAGAGATCGTATGATCCTTTTCAAATAAGCCAGACGAAGCTTTCGGGAAACCGGTAGGAACTTCCGTGACAAGATCCAGAGGAAAGTCGGAAGAAATTTCCCGTGGAAGTCGTAAAACAATTCCAAAGGACGACAAGCACTTCTGGGGAAGTCTTCCGAAATAATTTGGAATCAATGTCTAGTTACAAAGGAACTAGTACTGGGGAACTCAGCAGAAAGCTTCAGGAAAAGTCTTCCGGAGGAAGTTAGAACCATTTTTTACTTACAAAGAAAACCGTGAAGTCGGACGATACTTCCGGGGAACATGAAAAGAATCCGGAGAAATTTCCGAGCAACTTTCGGGGGGAAGATCATAGAAACTCCCAAGGCAAGTTGGAAGAAACTTCCGGGAAATGAACTTATTCTGATGAATAACTAGATCAAACATTATTTGTGTTAACCGGATACAAATATTTCCAAATTCTCAGGAATTCCCGGGAAGAGCCATCAACTATTTACCGAATCCCGGGTAACCGAAAATGGCCTGGAAATGGAAACACAAGATAATACCATAGAGGTAACTCTAAGACCAGAAGGTCCCGAAGAAAGATGCTCAACTTTTTGGCTCAGCCTTGGTACTCTCTTCGATCCCAAGCTTATCGATGCACCCATCGAAACATAGGAAAATGCACGAACCCCTCATTCAACTGTCAAAATTTCATAGCGAATCAAAACAAACATAGTGTAGTACTAGAATTTCAACTAGAATGGGGTACGTTAATCGATTAGCTTGGGATCAATAGGCTAGTCAAGTAGTGAGCCAATTTAAAATCGTTAGTTTTCACCGGTTGATAATACCATCGATAGACATACAAAGTACACCGTTGAACTGATTAAAGCTAGTATCTCAAATTGTACTTTTTGATGTAAAAGATTTAAGGAGTGCAATGGTACTGCTTTTTATGTCTGCCTGGCTGGTGTTGAGCCACACAATCTATCAAAGTCAAAGCCAACCGAGCCAAAGGAGGCTGTCAAATAGGAACAATCGTCACCTACCTAGCATACAATTGGTTTCAATTGGTCACCTACCTAGCATTCAATTGGATCAGTAGGCTGATTTGACAGCTTTTTTGCCGTCATAGGTTGACAAGACAGTTTGTTTTGAATTCGCTTCTCTCTTATGCTAGACCATCACTGCTGAGAACGATTAGAAATGCCAAAACTTCAAGTTAGGAACCGGATATCTTACCGATGTTTATTACACAGCTGAAATTTCGAAATCAAAACTCATATAAAGTGTAGCATTAGCCTTCCAAAAGCGTCTTGTAGTCAAATTTGACGTATGTTGCATCGTACATGATACTCGCCGATGTTCCCTACTGAACGGTAACAAACAGCTTCCGAGCCATCGGTTTGACAGATGCGGCTGGTTTATGACTTCTTGAATGTCTTTAAACCACTTCTCGCCTTAGTGAATTGGACGTTACTCGTCGATGATCTCAGTTTTTAGTTTTCTTATTGACGCAAGCTTGGGTTATCTTCCAGTTCAGCTTTTCGTCTACAGTTTCTGGTTATCTTAAGCATTTTCTATCCACGAAGTAAAACAACGAAGACTTAATTCAAGGTCAAATAAGGAAATCTTAAAACCCACTTTATCTTCATCAAGCGTGAAATCCATGCAATCATTCATAAATCATTTATAACTTCCTTACAGCTGACTCAGTTTTACTTTAAAATCATGACTTTCACACCCACAGCTTTCTCACTGCTATTTCTTCTTCTTCATCTTCTTCTTGTTCTCTATCACAGTTTCCGTTCCATTTCTCTTCTTGCGTTAAGTGCACGTGTGTGTGTCTTTGTGTGTGAACGCGTGTGAGCATTTCAGTCTTCAAGACACACACACACACCCACCCACACAAGAGCTAAAACAGAAAACCTTTGCCAACAAGTAAAAAAGCCACGCTCCAGAGATGGCACCCACCATCCACAAGGAGGAGAATTTCTCCACCACCAATCTCAAGTGGAAGGTATGTGCGATTTGCAGTACTTTTGCCTTGCCTCGCTTTCTTCATGAAATAATAATGAAACAAAAGTAAAATCGCGGCGGATCGGTGTGTCCCTAACCTGCCTGATTAAATCCCTTCTAACTGTTGTAGGTAATCCGATCCGCCTTCCCTCGCTTCAGCCGTTATTATTATTGTTATTATCGTTGATTAACCCCCCAGCCCAGTTGGTTGTTGTTGGTCAGAGATCTAATATTAGAATTACACTGCCCATAGATATCGAACCGGATAACATGGTTGCGCGGGGAAAGTTACCAGAGCTCCCTCTCTCTAACCACACACTAATCATCCATGTGAAACAAGTTGCTTGGTAACACTGAGGTACCTAAATACATGGTATCGCTGCTCTCTAACTCCACATTCTAACCTCAATATAAAATAAGGCTAATAATAATCCATCATTGCTTGCTGCGCGACTCGACGGCGACCGAGCACAGCTGCATCCGAGTGGAAAACAGAAAACAATCAAATTGGAGGTGACGGCAGTCCTCACGCCCTCGCACGTGTTGCTGCAGTGCCGTGGAAATCATTCGCAAAGGAAAACGGAAATAGGAATTGCTTTTGCAATTTAATTTCAATTAGCCGGGCTGTGAGGAAATCGAATCAAGAACTGCACTGGGCAACTGCTGCACCTACGACAACTAACCTACGATTGCCATTTCCACTCACACTTCGAATCGACGCGCTTTCCATTTTCACCATCCGGCGATGGTTGTTGTTGTGATCGCTGCCGTGCAGAGTTGTCTACTTTGAAGCTTTTCTCAATTCGGTTGTTTTGTGCAAAGCCCGCGGGGCGGGGGGTTGTAATTATTGAAAGCGGCCCGTTCATAAGCTTTCCCAACGCGGACGTGTCCCGCGAACCGCAATACCGCCGTCCATATTGAGCTGCGTTTGCAGCTGGCAATCGCGGGCAATCGATACACATCAGCTGGATTATTGCAATCTTCCCTGAGCTGGTTGTTGTGGGGTAGCGTGTACGGTTATAAGTTTGATTGATGTTATGACGATAATTTGATAACAGATAACAGGATGTGCCACGATGGTGGAAATCCAAAAACTCTTGGAATTGGCTGCGGCCGGTCGGTGGTCAGTCGAGGATGATTCGCAAAATTCACATTGGATCAAAAGTATTCCGTATCATTTCAGATATCAAATGGATTGGCATTCGAAATTGTTGCTGAAGTCAAATAACCCAGTACTTCTTCAGAAATTGGACTGATCGTGCTATTATCTAACAGCTACCATGACATTTGGATACCAACATTTCAATTGTATAAGATCACACTTTCGCCAAGAAACTATACCAGCTAGTAGAGGAAACATTCCACGTTGGTAGTTGGCGTGTGTGAGCTTTTGTTCGAGAGAAATTGACGGTTTAGGCCTATGTTTACAAAAGAAACTTCCCCTTAAGCCCGGTTTAGACGATTAAAATTGGCTGTTCAATTCACTTGATCTGCGAAATGAACGACAAGAAGTTACTCGATGTCCTCCATTTGGTATTCGCTTTGAAGTTACAAGACAACCAGATCATGGGTGAGTTGAAATCAACTTAATTTAACCGTGTAAACCAGGCTTGATTGTAATGCTGATAAAAGAATTGCGCATATATTCGGTCTAACAATCGAATACTAAATCTAATTTAAATTTTTAATGCTTTAAATATGTATTTACTAAACAACCAAGTTTGAATTTCTTGATAAAACTTCGTAGGCCAACAAACAGACAAAGAACAAAAGTGGAAGAGCAAACCAATCCTCGGTATCATGATCCAGTTCCGTGCTGGAGCTGTCAGCTTATAAAATACCCAAGCGATTGCTAGAAACGATGACGTCTATCTGGAGAGCTTTTGATCTTTTTCTTGAAATACCTGCTATCAATGTTGAATATCTAAAGTTCCATAGCCCAACAGCAGTCGCGTCAAAGCACCGAAAAATGAGCGGTATTTAGATACATTAGATACGGTACTTTAACTATATTTCAAGGTCAACTCTACCTTTTTCTAGTGATGCATTAATAATTTTAAAACATCCTAGGAAATTGTTGATTAAAAATATGACTCAATAGAGTGTGTTCTTCGTGCACTGCTGGAAAGTTAAAATTAAATAAAAATTCCCATAACTTCCAGGAAGTTTATTACAACACCACATAGGCAGTTAGATCAAAGAAGATCTAGGTTAGATCTATGATAAACTGCTACGATGTTCCCTAAACAGAAACGATGATCCCCAAGGAATCAAAAATATCTCCAAATGATAAAATGACAAGCGATCAACGAGCCGAACGATAAGCAATGATATGATCTACATCCTATTTTTTCATGACAAACAGCTGCTGCAACACAGCTCGCTTGGGCTGGTAGAAGGAAACGACCAAATTGTTAGCTTCACGAAGTAAACGCTAAGGTGTTAAAGGGAATTTTATAGTTACGTCTTTTCCCGATTCCGATCAAGCTATGTCCTCAACCAGGATTATTGCAACAAAGCAGGCAAGCAATATATCATTATTCTACTACCACTACAATCGAGCTGTGTTGCAGAGAGAGAGAGAGAGAGAGAGAAATTGCTGTGGTAGTCGTAGCAAGCGTTTTGCCTGTATCGTTGGTTGCTTTATGTGTTTGGATTCGCTGATGATCCCTCAAGTTCATAGAAGTTTGCAAAACTTTTACGAAATTGTTTGATCTTCTAACAAATTCCCTGGACTTTTTCAAAATTTCCTGGACTTCTATGAAATTTTAAGCAGTTCCTTGTACTGCTACGTACACTGTGAAAATAGGGCTGTGAAATTTCAAAATGTACATGTCATTTGTACATTTTGAAATTTCACAGCACTATTTTAACTGTGTACGTAGCAGTACAAGGAACTGTTTGCCAATTTAAAAACAAGTAAATCAACAGGAGAAAACGTGTCATTCTATGAAATTAACAGCAAGTTTTGATGTTTGAAGCAGGTGCATACCAAAAACCGTAAAACTATACATAATTTTTTTTTAACTATTCCAAGACCTTTATTTCTTCAATAAAATGGCCTGACATTAAAAGAAGGGTTTCAAACAATTACGAAGTTCACTGGAATTAAACAATATTGAGTTGTCTTCTACGAAGTTTCCCAATCATGCATACTGCCGCTCATGGCAAGTCCGTTCCATAGCACAAATCAGCAAGCCGAGAAAAACGCGTTTTATGTTTGCATAGCACCATTGCTTCTTATGTAATGGGACAACCCGTATTGCTGTTTGCCCAAACTTTTCCAGATCAAAACTGTTGAATTCCTGGGTGATTAACTACCATCAGTTTTGACAAAAAACGCAAACGGGACCGACTTGCGATGAGCGGCAGTATACAGGTTCCTAGTTTTTCGAAGTATCCTGAATTTTACAAGATTACCACAAGCTCTACGATGTTCTCTGATACTCTGTGAAGTACCCAGATATTCCACGAAACTGCCTGAACTTCTACGCTGTTTCCAGAACTTATAAGAAGTGCCTGAAGTATAAGAGAAATCCCATAACTTCAACTGCAATGAGAGTTTATTTAAAGTTCACTTAATTTCTACAAATTTCATTTAATTGCTTCAAAGATCGCTTAATTTTTGAATATTTCGCTGAGCTTTTACTTAATTATTTGAACTTTTACAAAATATTCTGCATTTCTACAAAGTTCACTTAAGAACTATGAATTTCATTGATTTTCTACAAAGTTAGCTGATATTCTACAAAATTTGCTGAACATCTAAACATTCCTAAGCTTGCAATTACATGAGCTTCTACGCAGATTCCTGAACTCCTACTAAGTTCCCTGAAGATCTACGAAGTTTCATTAGTTCTACAACGTTCCCTGAACTTTTACGAAGTTCCTCGAGCTACTTCAATGGTCCCTGGAATCAAATGATGTTCTTTTAACAATTTTAAACTTCTATAAAGATTCATTTTTATAAATCTGAGCAAATCCCATCGCCAAATTTGAATTTAGCGGTGAAGACATTGTGAAGACATTTCGATGAAGATTATTTCTAAATACACCCGGCATCCCTGTACTGGAGTGATAATAGTAGGTCTGCCTATGTGCTGCCATGTTCAATCCAAAACGAGCATTTCAAGCGTAACTATTCAAATCTACGTATCCGATTTTGTAAACAATCACTTCAATCGACGAATTGTGGCACTTGATAGCTCACTCACAGAAACTAACAACACCAGCTGGTAGGAGAAAGATTCCCCTACCTGATGATGGCGTTTGTTTGCGTGGGTGAGTTAGCAATTAAGACAAATCGTCGATTGAAGTGATTGTTTACAAAATCAGATACGTCGATTTGAATAGTTACGCTTGAGTTTCCATTTTACAGTTAGTTTGATTCGTCAGCTCCTATAAGCAGGTCTATAGAGATTTTTGGCGTTTAATCGTCTTTCGCTATCTAGCACACCTGGATGAATTGATTCATTGTTTTTCCACTAATCTGTTTCCCTCTTGCTCACACTTCTTGGATGGATTTAGATGGTGCAGTAGTGCGCTCCTATTAAACGTCAAAAAGCTCTATTACTATGAGTGTCTACAGGATAGATGTTTGTTCGTTCATGCTGGCACTAAAATATCAAGCAAAAAAAGTCCACATTGAATAAAAATTTTCTCAAAATTAGCTATTAACAAATAGATAAAAAATTTCATGGTTCCAGGTATATTCTATAATATAAAATAGCAATTATTAAAGGCTGGAGCATAAATCTAACATTGCAGAACAGTTGATAGAATATGCTTGACTCTAAAAAATGCACTTGCCGAGCAGCCGATTGAAAATGTTCTTGAAAATCAACCCCCTGCAATTCGATCCAGTTCTTGAAACTGCCGAAAACATCAGCATGTGATCCATAACATATTTAAGCTCCAATCATGTAACATTAAATGCGGCAAGGTTGCAACAAATAAAATGCCTTCAAAACCATTATTACTTTAACGCACTGGACAATTAAA